AAGGAAGAGCATCGTCCAACAAGCAACAAAATCGAAGCAGGGACTTGAGCACCTTCTCTCGTGGCACGAGTACGAGGATGAGAATGAGGACGGGCCGATCACGGTCTCATCATATTCCAAGACCATGAGAGAGTCCGGGCGAGTAGCAACTCATCTCGAAGAACAAATGGCAGCCGTGAAAGCCAAGTTGACTGTCCGAGCCAAAAAAGGATGCTAGACAGATTTTGAATGTGTGCAGTTCCGGAGCTGTCGCCTCTATGTGGTGCAAACGGCGATTCTGAGTTTTGGCGATGAGAGAAAAAAGCAACGGCGATGATGAGAGCTTGAGATTTGGCGCTTTTCTGGTGATTTTTACATGTGAGCAACGACGTGTATAACTATAACCTTTTGAATCATGTTGGGGTGTTGGTCTTCGTGACTTTCAGCTTCAATTTTAGAGTATATATAACACCGATGGTGTTGTTGTAGCCTGCTTTGCATGTGTGAGTGCACACATGTGTAAAGCTATACCTCCGAACCTCAAGCATTGAATCAACCATGAAAGTCCATACCTCCAAAACCCTGTGAAGCTCACAACACAACCTTCGTAACCCCAAACCCTGAACCCTCTATAAACCCTTAAATCCTGAACCTTATATATAAACCCTCACAAGATTTGTTTCGTCCAGATTGAGGGGCAGTGGACCGTGTGGTTTAGGGGGTTTGGGTTTTGCGGGGTTGGGGCAAAAGCTTTCTGTTGTTGTTTGTATAGTATATTTGGTGCCCACACATATATGTATAACTTGCTCACAAGCCTCAGCCTCAATGCTCGGTGTGTCTGACCATGTGTGTCCCGTCCTTATAAAATGTTTTATGGCTATAGCGAACAAACCACTGTATGAAATAAGGCACAAAAGTTCAGCTGGCAACAAACACCAACTTTGCATAAAGGTGCTGTTCTGTTTATTTATATATGGAGAGAAGGTACCATGGAGGATGCAGGGCCCGAGCGAAAGCGACGAAAGGGTGGGGTCCAACAGAGATTGGGCCAGGCGGTGAGTGAGAAGTCCACCTCAAGTTCTTTGCACGATTTGCTGATGACGTATTTGGCACAAGGCCTCCTGTCGGCCTCTATGATTCATGCAATTGCAGTTGCAGCGGCTGCCGATATTAGAAATGCAAGGGACGGGAAAATTCTTCCTGATTTGGACAGGCTCAGCAAGGTGAAGCATGGAAAAAATTTGCAATCTTCTATTGACAACCACTTGGCCCAGCAGTCCAATCTTCCGATGCCGACAGAATTTAATATCCCCTTAGCAGGACAAGTCGAAGGCACGGCGACTTCCATGATATTGCTTCCGCACGAGATTATGCACCACCTTTGGAAGACGACGACTGGATGGATTACTTCTGTGTTGCCTGATGCGGAGGCTTTGCCTCGGTTTTGGAGATCGTTCAATGGACACCCTTGCATGTCAAATCATGCGGTAAAATCGCGAGCTAATTGGATGCAAAGGGCTATTCCCCTTTGCATACACGGCGACGAAGTTCCTGTTTTTGGAGTGGGCAAGATATGGGCTCGCAGTGTTTTGGCTTTTTCATGGGTATCGCTGATGGCCACAGCGGCCGGCCGATCTGCTGCCGATTGCAACCTCTACATTTGGGGCGTTTTTGAGAAGTTCATTATTCCGGCTGGCGGCGAGGGGGCTGGGACAATGGAAACTTTTTGGCAAGTGATGTATTGGTCTTTCAACATTCTTTACACCGGTAAATGGCCTGCTCGGGATTGGCAAGGCAAGAAGCAGCCTGGTGTGTTGTTGTATATGTACACATGTGCCAGAAATCTGGAAACCCTTACATTTTAGGACCCTGTGGGAACCCTATAAGCTGTAAGCCTTTTTGTCTTTCTTGATTTTTTATGATGTGGGTCCTGTTTTAGATATGTGACTATATACATACACACCCTATGTATGAGAGCCCTGTTCTCAAATCCAACCCTAACCCAACAGCTTCCTTGATGGTGATGATATATATATATATATACACAGTATATAATATCGTATAAACATATATAAGCCACAAAACCACGGACCCGTGGAATCCCAAAGCAGCACGAACCGGATGTGAGAAAAATCACCACACAGTATACGTAAAAAACCCTCTCACCACATGTAGATATATATATGTAGATATATATGAACCTGTCTCACAAGTAAGAAAATGTTTGTTACACGGCACAGAGGTATGGGGCCAGTACAAAGGAGGGCGAACGAGCGGGAACCGACCTATGCGGAGGATATTATGGTGTCCTGGTTCAAATGGCTGGCGACTTGGATTATTATGCGAAATGGCTGGAGGTTCCACGATGGAGCAATCACAGCAAACCTTGTGCTCTTTGTCGGGCCGCCTTCAAAGGACCACTAACATGGATGGACAATCGTGCAAATTCGCCGTGGCAAGCCTCGTGCCTCACCACCACCAACTGGAGATCCCACTGGAATCCATCATGCCAGCTGTATTCTTTACCTGGCTTTTCGGGACTTTGTATCACGATGGACTATATGCATTGTATGTTTTTGGGGTGGATACAGTTTTTTTATGGCTCCGTGCTCAGCATCGTGGTCCACGATTGTTTGGGTGGGAGTATCTTGGCGAATTTGAAATACTGCGACTCCTTCATCAAGAAGTACCAGCGAGACAACGAAACCAGATACACATTCCGCCAGCGACTTCTGAAACTTACAATGATACAACCAAAAAAAGGATTCCCCAAGATGAGAGGAAGAGCTTCCGATATTCAATCTTTGGACAGTGCAATTCTTGCTCTATTCGAAGAGCAAATGGACGAGGGTATCTATCAACACAAGCAAATCCGGCTCTTTTTGCGGTTGAACCTGCAGCTGGCTGAAATATTGGAAGCTTATGGGCCACGGTACGGCTTCTTGGCTTTACCTGAGGAGCAAGCAAACCTGGCTTTCAAGCTCGGTTGCCAAATGGCACAGCTCCACAGCAGCCTGCAAGCCCACTACAAAGGGACGGGGGAGAAGCTCTTCAATCTCACAAGTAAGACCCACTTCGTTTTGCATAGTCTCCTACTCAGCAGTTTTATTCATCCGTCGATGGTCTGGTGCTACAAGGGAGAGACGACGATGCATCGCCTGCAGATTCTATGGAAGAGTTGTTTGGCAGGGGTGAAGCACTGGCATGCTTCCAAAAAGGCTGCCCTCAAAGAGAGGCACCTTTTGTTTCTGCGGGGCAAAGTTGGGCGATCGTGAGAGCTTCTTTCTTTTCTGTCGCGAAAAAAAAGAGTGTCTCTCTGCTATATGTGGTGCTCCTGGTCTTTTGTTTGGGCTTTTGAATCACAGTTGTCGTATATACTGGTGTGGATCTTATAAGCAATCTGCATGGATTCTCTTTGGTTAGTTTATGGCTTTGGGCCTGCGAATTTTCGGAAAAGTCCTTACTTCTGCTGTGGATCCTTTACATGTGGTGTCTGCGATTGCAGAGCAAAACAAACTCATGCCGGTGATTTTTTTAAATCCTTTACATGTGGTGTCTAAGTTTGCAGCCGCAAATATGAGTTCCATGTTTGTGTTTGCATAATGTTTTTATGTGTTTTGTCATGTTTTTAGCTCACCAGAAAATTTACGTAAATTTGGTCATTTTACACTAAATCCTTCGTTTACAGTAAATCAAGCCAAAGTGTAAAATTAGGTAAACAGCAGACTCAGGGTTGCGGACGCTTCGCGAACGCTTTAACAACGATCGCTGGTCACCTGCTGGACCCCTGGACCCCAAACTTTTAAAACGGGAACCCTTCTGCAGAGCATTCGGGAAAACAACCCAAGTTCCAGCGCAGGTGCTCAAGAAGGCCTTGCCTCACTCGCCCAGCCGGCGTGAGCCTGTGGGCAGCGGGGAGAAAGTCTCTCCTCGGCCTCGGGGGGTTTAGCATGAGGGGTTTTAGGGTTTCTACAGTAATGATTACAGGGGTTTTAGGGCTTTAGTATTAGGGCATTAGGGATTTTAGGGCTTCTACAGTAACAATTATAATAGGGGTTCTAGGGTTTTAGTGTTAAGGCTTTAGGGAATTTAGGTTTCTACAGAAATAATTATAGGGGTTTTAGGGCTTTAGTATTAGGGCTTCAGGCATTTTAGGGTTTCTACAGTTGTAGTTATGGGGTTCTAGGGCTTTAGGCTTTAGTATTAGGGCTTTAGGGTTCCTAGGGTTTCTATAGTTATAGGGGTTATAGGGGTTATAGGGCTTTGGGTTTTGTTGTTGTTTAAGGGTTTGGCAGGAATACAGAGACCCATAACTTTCCACAAAATTCTAATCCCTCAAACCCTGAAGCCCTGGTCGTGGTGTCGATTTTGGGCCCTGGAACACCCCGAGCCGTCGCGTTCGGACTTCAGTTTAGGTTGTTCCGTTTCAGGCCTTGATGTGCAAAATCTGTGGGTTTTGCTGAAGGTTAATGTGCCTTCGTATGGTTTATAGCACTAGTAACAACACTTCTTGTGAGTGCCCATATAGTGATCATAAAACTAAACAACACCCCCCAACCCCCAAACTCTAAACTCTAAACCCCCGTAGATCACGCTAAGACCCTACACTTGCGCTGTTTCGGATCAAAGCGCGGGTTGTCTGCGAAACCACACCAGGAGCCCGCTCTGAAGAAGTTGGGACCCCTCGAGGGGTTCGGAAAGCCATACGTGGTCTGAGTACTTAGTTCTTCGCAATAGTAATTTCTGCTCATGGTCCCAACATGTTTATACTCACAATATATACACCAACAATCGAATCTACCAATGAACCCCTCCAGATTGTGTATGTCCATTGGAATGTGGGCGGGGCTTCTGGATTTTTCACTCGATTTTCAAGGGCTCCGGTGGCACATCCCAACCCGACCAGAAACCCTTAATTACAGAACCCAAGCCCCTGTTTCCCTCCCAGATTCTCATAAAGCCTGTATCCAACCCTATAAGAACCCCCAAACGTAACCTCCGCCGCAGCCCAGTGCTGAAGTATGCGAAGATGTGCATGGCTCTGTCTGCTCTGCGGCCCCTTCAGTTTGGCCCTCCGTGTGCCTTCCTATGAGGAGGCCGGAGGTTGGGAGGGGACGACCGGTTTGGCTCCGGCTTTGGGTGTGGGGTAGGGTTTAGGGCTCTAGGGGTTTTGGGGTTTAGGGTTCCAGAGCTATGAATTGTGCGCTTCGGTTTGGGTCCCTGCTAAGCGGAACCCATAGCTGCGAGTGAGCAAAGCATATGCTGTGGTACGGAAAGCCGGTGACGCAATAGCGGGTTTGGAAGTGAGGGCTTTGAGGTTTCCCTAAACCTTAAACCCTAGACTCAACTTTGGGGTTTCGGACGCTTCTGCAGACGGAAAAGAGCCCATAAAGAAAAAAACCCTAGACTCGACCCAGTCTCCATGGTAGTTCCTTTTTTTGGGTGGTTTTTTTTCTTAAATTCAGACTTCAGCTTCGATTAAGGTAGCCCCCAAAAAGAATTACAATCAAAGGGGAAAAGGAAGGACCCTTAACGGGGACCCCTACCCTATAATGGGCTATATAATGGTATGTAATAGCTATCTTAAGGATCTACACCTAGGGGTCCTTATTAAGGGTCCGTCCTTTTACCCTTGGATACAATGGATACTAGGGCCACTAGGGGTAGGTTTGCGGTCTATGGCCTATGGCTTTCAGCTGTAGGGTCTTGGGCCAGGACTTCCCCGCCGACTGCAACTTGCCAGCAAGCTGTGGTTGTACGCCATACCTCCCTAAAACCCTAAACCCCCTTAAACCCTAAACCCCCTAAAACCCAAAGTCCCTTTAAACCCTAAACCCTAAACACCCTTAGTTAAAGAGGAGGCCTGAAAGTACAATAACACGAGGCCGCCTAAACCCTAAACCCTAAAGCTTAAGATCGTATTGATTGCGTAGTGGGAGTCTTTGGGACGAACTGCGCTCAGTGGACGAGCGCGTGCGGATTGGCAGGTCTTCGGATGGACGTCCTAGCGAGACATGTGAGCTAAGGTAGCCTTCAGACCCTAAATCCCACAACCTAAACCCTTCCGATAAAATTGGAACGATACAGAGAAGATTAGCATGGCCCCTGCGCAAGGATGACACGCACAAATCGGGAAGTGTACCAAGTTGTAAAAAAAAAAACCCTAAACCTAAACCTGAACCCCTCAACCCTAAGCCCAGACCTTTTAACCTAGACCATAAACCCTAAACCCCTTTTACGCCAAGACAATCCCAAAAGCCCCCCTAAAGGGAACTCCAGAAAGTTGGAATATGGTTTCAGGGTAGGATACCTTATAATTTACCATAAAGGGTTTAGGATAATCATATTCCAACTTTCTGGCTTTTACTATAGTCTCTTTGGGCGAAAGCTCTGCATCCGAGGCCCCGAGTCGGGTTTCCTTTACCTGAGCGGTAGGTACAAGGCCGGGGTTTAGGGCCTTCAGGGTTTAGGATTTGGGGTTCAGGGCTTGGGAGGGGGTAAGGGGGTTTCGGGGTTTAGGGATGCAGGCTTGTGAGGTCTTCGGGCTTTAGAGGCTTGGGGCTTTAGGGTTTTGGGGGGGTTTAGGCTTGTAGGGTTTCAGGGCTTAGGGCTGCAAGGGGTTTAGGGATTTAAAGGGTTTAGGGTTTTTCAGGCTTAAGGGGTTTAGGCATTGGCTTGAGGGGTTTCTGGTTTAGGTTTGTCTATTTTTTAAGGGGTTCTGGTGTTGGTTTGATGGCTTTTATTTGTAGGAAAACAGTTGTCAGGTTTTGAGGAGCTAGGATTCCACTGTTGTGGAGGCCTCTAGGGCTGTGCCTTTGGGGCTCTGGTCTTATCGGCTTGTAGGATTTAGCATGATGCCGTCAGGGTTCGGAGTAGATCTTCGGCCTCGTCCAGATCCTGTCTTCGAATGCCGAAGCATCTCAGAGGTGACATCCCAAACTGTAAACTCGAAGAGGTGGCTCGGCAGATCAACGTGACTCGAGTTTGTCATCTGGTTGCCTCTCCCGGAACGGAGATCCGGCTACTCAGCTGACAATACTGAAGTACTGAAGTACAAAAGTAGCACGGCTCTTGTTGGAAGATGGCCTATGCGCGGGGATTACCTGTCAAAGACTTCCACCATGTCTGCGAACTTCTTGAATCATGTCGCTACAGCACCTGCAGATGCACAAGACCTCGTGACATTCATTAGTGGTCAGATTCGAGTCAGCAACCACCTGCATCCTTGGCAAACTGTCATCCAAGGCTGCATGAACAGATATTCTTCCAGACAGATGCCACGTTCAGTGGCTCCTGGACTTTTATCGGAGTGGCATCTCCGCTGAATCTGGTGTCTAACTGCTGGTGCTAGGTGTAGGTTAGCCACTCTATGAGCAAAACTGGACATGTTGGTATCAGTGGTATCATTCTGGTAATGTGTGCAGTGCATGTCGATGTGAGCCTCGTTTTTGTATCTCACAGTTGTGTCGAATATATGTAGCTGCTAGAGTCCGGGCACCTTTGGCCAAGTCTCTCTTTCGCTTGTGGTTGACATTCGGGGGGATCTTGTACTCCGCGGTTGCCATTGAAACTCCGTCTGGGTGCAGGAGAGACCGCTCATGCCCGTCTGCATCCAAGTGCACGTTTGTGTTTCAAGTTTCTGTCTGTCTGGGTTTTCCGTGCCTGTACTTCCGTATTAATGATTACGGTATGATGGTGTGTTTACATTTGCAGTAGCATATGCCGCTTATTGATTGCATCATACATACATATACTATGCATGGGCATGCTTTTCTGTCGGGACATTACCTTTGTATGTATGCTTGGATGTATATGTAACTGTGTTTATATGTATGTACCCATAGTCGATGCCATCCACTGGACATACTTGGGTGGTTTTACCCCGCCTCCCCCCCACCCCGGGAATGCTTGAGTAATGACGAAGATTATTGCTCAGGGTACCTCTATCAACAGAAACCCGCAAACCCCTAAACCTTAGACCCCTGAAGCCGTACGCCCTAGACTCCTAGACCCCAAGCGCTAAAAACCTGTAGGTCGGGTTCTAAATAGCAAGGCCCCTACATTACTGCATTGCATCTCCGCCTGTCTTCGTCTGCAAGGATCACGTCGGAAGACAGGCCCGCTGCTTGGACGTGGAAGGGGAGGCTGGGATAACACAGGGATAGGGGAGTTTCCGAAAATGAGGGGTACGTATTTTGGGTCCTTACAATCAGGATCCTTCCGTTGGTAGGGTACTTTCCTAAGGTCCCCTATTTTCGGAAACCGCATATACGACAGGGGCCTTGATAATTGGAATGGGGGTGGGAATTATCATGGAGTTTAATTACTGCCCGGGTGTTCTGATCCTGTCGTTCCAATGCGGACTCAACTGGAATAGCTTGGTCTTTTTTCCTGAGCCCTGAACCCTGCACTGCATTTTAGGAATCTTGCGCACCAGTTGCCCTAAACCCTAAACCCCCTGCAGGCGCGGTTCCTCAACGCCACAGCGCACTTTACAAACTGCGGAGGTCACTTAACGGAGGACGGAGGCCTGGGTTTAGGGTTTTGGGTTTAGGGTTGTTGAACTGCTGAGAGTTATGATTTCGACCTTAAAGAGACAGCAAAAGGAACCCTACAAGGAACCCCAAACCATAGAACACCATATAGTAGCCTCAAAGGAAGTGTTACAGGCACGCCTAAAACCCTACTTTGCAACCCAGGATAGTCCCTAGACAAAAAGCCCTATAGAACCCTCAATGACTCAAGGGTGTCGTTGTCAACCATTTTCATTGGGGCTCGAACTGTGTTCGTCTGCTACTCCGTCTGCTTCGCACTGCAGCAGACAAGCAGCGGCGATACCATGTTCAATGCATTCCTGCCTCCCACCCGACGGGAAAGTGTTGGTTCATGGCAGTGCAGTGTGGTTCATGTTCGCTCACTGGAAGAGCTGAACTCTTATCTTGCCCACCGCGCCCGAATCCAAAAGCCACAACCGTCAACCCTCAAACCCAAGACCGTGAGACTTGGCAGTGGGAGAACCGGAGACGCGAGACCACCCACACCCCGGAGTAAACCTAGTATTTTGTGAGGGATTCCGCCCTTGTAGTAGCATTTTAGCCCTTACCGCTGTAGTGTACAAGCCCTGAATGCCTTGAGAACCGGTTCAGAGCTCCTTTTTCAGGCGGCCTCTATGCGGAGAAATCTCTCCTGCTTCAAGAGAGTCAACTTGAGTTCCTTGGAGTCACCATAGATGGCATAGATTGGCGTAGATGTATCATTTCCGATGCTACACGGATGATTTCGTAGTTGTAGAGGAGACGAAGGGCTTTGTCGAAGGCTCTTTTTGTTTTTCCATCATACATGCCTCTAACGAACCCTAAACCCTTAAACCCTATAAACCCTAGACCCCTAAACCCCTAAACCCTAAACCCCTAATTAAACCCTAAACCCCTAAACCCCTAATCCCTAAACCTCTAAACTCTAAACCCCTAAACCCTAAACCCCTAAACCCCTCAACCCTAAACCCTGCATAAGCCCTATTTGCATTGCAGGTTCCGGCAGTGTGAGGCGAAATTCGGCGGGAGCATCTTCGTTCAAAGGCCCAAGAGTCTACTTGGAGGATCGGGGGACTTAGCATTTAATTTGTTATTTTAGGGACTTTTAAGTACCATAACCCCAATTAGGGTCCCGTTTAGGGTACTTATAAGTCTACGTACTACCTACTTGCTAAGTCCCCCGACCCTCCAAGTACTCATATGGGAGTTTCCGAAGATTTAGGGGTACCTTTGGGTCCCTATAGTATGGATCGTATTACTTAGGGTACTATATTAGGGTCCCCTATTTTCGGAAACTCCCATATGCGCTTTAGGACTTATGTAAGCTTCTGGTGGCCCTTATAGAACCCATATAGAACTCCTATAGAGCCCTAGTGGGTCCCAATATAGAATCCCGATAGAGCCCTCACTTAGGACTACAGGTTGTAGGACCAGCAGAGTGGCCTGAGTTCATCAGGCTGACTGTATGCACGGACCCTGGGAATTTTGGTGAGTGTACGCCGGGCCTGCATCATGCTGCTGTCTAGGCCGAAAGGGAGAGGAATGTGATGGAGAATGACTTGGTGAGGGTCTTCTGCATAGTTATGAGTCTGTTGAAGCCGCTACAGACGTTGGGGCTTGATGGTGATTGTTAGTGCACTTCGTTTTTCATGGAACCTCGCCGAAGGGGTCTGTACCTGAGCAAGTCGCACCTGAGCGTTTTCGACAGCAAAGCCGAGGAGTTTGGAGGACGTGAGCATGTGGCAGAGCTGTTGTGACTGTTGCGATTCTGGTGGTTCGGGTTCGATTGTCCCCCAAGCCCGGACCGGATGGGTCATTGTTGCAGTCTGGTGGTGAGGGCCGGGCTGTAAAACACAGACTGCTTTCCTGCTGCCAACTGCACCGAAAGCAGCTTTTCGTCACAATGAAGTGAGGGTGTAGACTGCGCAAAGTGCAACCCTGCTCTCGGACCCCGAACTCGAAACCGTAAAGACCCAAAGCCGTATCAGAGGAGGAATCCACGTTGCGCGCTTCGATGTTGACGACGGGAGTGCCGCAGCGTTCCGGAACTGTGTGGCCGGATTCCTGGGATCATACGAAAGACTGTTCGGGTTGCAACTGTGCTTAGCAGGCTATCATCAGGGATAACCAACAACGCTGTGACTTGTCTCACCGCTTTACTGCACACGCACATGTCTGAAGTGGAAACGCAGAACATTTTTTGGTTCTGTGTCTCCATGGCGTCCAACTTAGGCCTCCAGGGGAGGCGGCGGTGGTATGCTGGTTCACAATGGCACGTTGATCTCAGGCCGAGGTTTCAGAGTCGGAGTACACATTTTGCGCATTTGCTGATGTATGGGATCATGAGGTGTTCCTACACCGCTACTATCATCATCATCATCACCACCAACATCATCATCATCATCATCACCGTCATCATAGTTATCGCCATCGCCACAGCTGGCATCACCACTGCTGCTAGTTGTACAGAAATTTCGGGCATCCTGGAGCCACCGTGATGACAGTCATGAGGGTCGTGTCGTACTGGCAGCATGTGGCAGCTGTCGTCGTCGTAATAGTCGCAGCAGCAGTGTTGGTAGTACCAGCAGTAGTATGTAAAGACAACATCCATTTTACTCGGTATTTGCGGCACTTTCGTCATGTGCGATTATCATAAGAGGCTTCAAAATCGACTTGTCGAGTTTGCAAACTTGGGCTCTTGATTTTGGACTTGCTTCTGGGGGGGGTGGGGGGGTGGGGGGGGGGGGGATGATGACGACAGTGTTACGCGAACACACCCAACAGTATCACCACAAGAGCCGTTTCACTCGGTATTTACGGTACTTTCGTGATGTCAGACTTTGTTACATATTCTGAGCCCCTACTTCTCGACTATGCGTATTAAACTTTGCTGTTTGGAACTGTTTGCAAAAAAACTCGAAATTGGGTGGGGGAAAGCTTCTTCGGGGATGATCACGACACTGTTTTGCGGACACCCTGAACAATATTTCCACACTCAAGCGCGCACACACCACACACACCACTTCAAAAACAGACCCTCCTACGCCGAGGTTGGGCGGTAGGGGTGTTGGCGAGCCCCTCCCACGTACAGCTGGCATCTTTGTTTTTGATGTTTAGAAGATGTTGCGCTTCAGGTTTTAGAAATGTTAAACCCTTCTTGGCAGCACCTGGGTTTTGCACGGTATTTTACAGCGTTTGCGTACTATCCGACCACGGTTTAGCAGTTTCTGCCCCGTCGACCTTGCAACTCCAGCTGCTGTCGCAGTTTTGGAGCCTGAGCCCCTGCAACTTCACCGGCTGTGACAGTTAAGGAAACTGAGCCTCTGCAACTTCTGCAGCTGTCAAAGATAGGGAGCCTGACCCGTGCATCTTCTGCAACTGTCGCAATTAAGGCGCCTAGCAGCTACCGCTGCCCAGCCCGGAAGGAACAAGTGTATTTGGGAGGGGGGGGTGGCTAGTAGTAGTAGTAGTAGTCGTAGTAGTAGTCGTAGTAGTAGTCGTAGTAGTAGTAGTAGTAGAAGTAGTAGTAGTAGTAGTAGTAGTAGTAGCAGTAGCAGCAGCAGCAACAGCAGCACCAGTTATTGTAGTAGGAGTAATAGTAAGAATAATAGCAGTAGCAGTAGCAAGTAGTACTACAAGTAGTAGGAGTAGTAGTAGTAGTAGTAGTAGTAGTAGTTAGTAGTAGTCGTAGCAGCAGTAGTAGTCGTAGCAGCAGTAGTAGTAGTAGTAATAATGATAATAGTAGAAGCAGCAGCAGCAGGTGTTGTTGTCGTGGTGGTGGTGCTGGTTCAGTGCTGGTGCTGGTGCTGGTTGTGGTCGTTGTGGTGGCGGTACTTCGCTGATGTTGTTGTTGTGGTGGTGTGATGGTTTGTTTTGGTGCACTCCAAGGGACATGGATCACTTGTCGGGGTAATTCTCTTGCTACGTCCAGACGGCCACATCTCCTTGTCGCACTGCTCGTCGACGGAAGGAGGAGGCGGCATTTCCTGAATTGCTTCTGCATTGATGATGAGCGCACGTGAAACAAGAGGTAATGTAGGGGCCTTGATAGTTAGAATAAGGTTCGGGGGTATATTGCACGAAAGTAATTACTAATGAGGCTTAAGGAACCCCAAATTCAAACAAAAACTATTCTAATTCGACACGTTGCCAAAGCCCAAAGCCATGATTCCGCAGCCCGAGACATGTCCTTCTGACTTAGATTTTGTGGGGGGAGTTTCCGAAAATAGGGACCTAGTATGGTATGCTAAATAGTAGGATCCTTATTATAATAAGGGCTCCAAAATAAGGTACCCCGCATTCTCGGAAACGCCCATATGGCCTTCTGCCACAGTTCCGCTGAAGTGGACGGTCTTACGAGATTCCACGTACATGTTCTGGAACCCTGAGGCCCCGAACTACAAGCTAAAGCCCAAACCTTCCCAAAGGGTCCAAGGTACCGATAGATCCGTTGGATGTAGAGTTTCTATATTAGGACCATTAGGAATTACTACTATGGTTTGGGGAAGTATTCCCCCTAACAGTACCTAGGACCCTTTGGGCTTGGAGATTGAAGGTCATGTTATTTCTGAAGCCTGAAACCTGCAACGCCCGCAAATCTTCCAATTCCGCTTACACTACGCAAGGGCTTTCAGCTGTTGAGAATGCCAAACACCGAGAACCCTGTCGGATAACTTTAACCCCGTTCACGGTGTCTGACGAGGACACTGAACTCTAAACCCTAAACCCCTAAAGGGAACTCCAGAAAGTTGGAATATGGTTTCAGGGTAGGATACCTTATACCATAAAGGGCTTAGGATAATCATATTCCAACTTTCTGGCTTTTACTTTAAATTCTAAACCCGTACTGTAAACTCTAAGCCCTACACCTCTTAACCCTAAGCCCTAGCTATCGGAGGTATAGCGCTCCTGGGTTCTCGATCTCACTTTGTGCAACGCCAAGGTTCGATTGAGGCCGGCCCGGGTGACGTATATACGGGGGGGTTCAGCAGATTGGGGACCCTAATATAGTACCCTGAATAGTAGGATTCTTATTATAACGACCCCAGAACTGAATAGTAGGATCCTTATTATAACGACCCCCAAAACAAGGTACTGTACCCCTAGTTTTCTGAAACTCCCATATTCAGGGAGCTGTTGCAGTAAATCGTGTTCAGAGTTGTTTGGAATGATTCCTCGGGAATGTTTCATAGTTTTGTATTGTTTTGTTACAGAGCTTCTTAAGGGCTTTAGGGTTGGAAGATTTAGAGGCATTGGTTTAAGATGATAACCGCGAGTCTTACTGTGGTCTCTACGACCTCGGCTAACTCCATTTTGTTGTTTTTGTGGCTGTTGGTGGTGGTGGTGGTAGTGGTGGTGGCGGCGGCGGGAGTGGTGCTGGTGCTGGGGTGCTGGTGCTGGGGGGCTGGTGGTCGGGTGGAGGTGTGGGGTGGTTGGGGTGGATTGGGGGCGGACCCTAAACCTAAACCCCGAACCCTAAACGCTAAACCCTAAGCCTTAAATCCATGAGCCTAATCAAAGTGCTAAGGTGCTGCAGAGCAGGTCCCGGCGGGGATCCCGGCAGCGCTTTCTGCTCTTGTTTCCTTGGGGTTTAGACATAGATTTGTTGTGGGTTTTGGGCGGCTATAGGTAAAGGTCTAGGGCTCAAGGGGTGTATAGGAAACAGGTTGAGGGCTTGAGGGTTATGGTTATAGCTTGCTAGGTTTAGAGTTGCTGGGTTGTAGGTATATGCTTTGGGGGTTTATAGGTCATGCGTTTTGGGTTTTGGTGGTTTTAGGGATTCGGGGTTTGGGCTTTAGAGTTTAGGGCTGGGGTGTAGGTGTTGAAGGTTCTTTTCGCACGTGGAGGGATGGGTATGGCACCCTTAACGGTTAAGCCTTATCACCAAATCCAATACTGAGGTCGGCACAGGGAGGATGCATCCACGTTGACAGCAAGTTTGAACAGGCCATCCGAGAGCTGGCATGAGATGTACTGCCGCCCACGGTTCAGGGTTGTCGGGCTTCGCGCATGAATGTGCGAAGAAGATGCGCATGCGAGCAGCGAACCTCTTTGATCGAGGCTGCTTGATGAGGTCTGATGTCAGGGAATCGGTTCAATATTCGGCCGGTCCTGCAAAGAAACTGCCAGAAATAAACGTGTCTAACCGCAATGGACATGCATGAGGTCATACTCGCGATGCAAATAGTTTGCATCTCGGGCATTCTTCCTAGCAGGTCCTAGCAGCACTATCAATCGGTAGATGGACTTGCAAAACCGGTAGCTTCTCTTCTTAACAGACAGGTCTGATGAAGAGTATCATGCAAACTCAGAGGACAGCAAGCCCGGGTTTGTCGTTTTCTCTGTTAATTAGGACTAAGATTGCTACATAGAGCACATGCCGGATCTAATGACAATCCAGACAAAGGTTTGTGTCTCCGCACACTTCCCTAATGTAGGGGCCTTAAACCTTACCTATTACACTATTCCTGGTGGTTTAACCAGTGGTTTGTTATTGTAATTAGGTTGTCATATACACCAAAAAACATTCTAGTAATTTTGGGAAGCTTGTCCGATTCTCGCGTTCGACACCCGTAGTCCCAACTTCATAGCAGTTAGGATAATAATATAGGGGTTTTAACAATAGTGCCTCTTTTATTTAGGGGGTTCCTTGTTATGTTTGTAGTATAATATACCCCCAAAACTCTGTTCCAACTATCAGTTACAATGAATTTCGGCCCGGTTTAGTTGCATCCTCTGTCGGCCTGCATCCAGAACTGAGGCCCTTTCTTCATGTGGGGCTGTGAAGCCCTAAACCCTGGCCCCCGCGCCACCTACACCCTAAAGCCTGGTTTGCCTAAACCCTGAACCCTTGCAATTTTCCAGCACGTGGACGGCGTTGTGATCCTGGATGGCTGTGCCTCTGCCATGGGTGCAGGAGTGCTCAGAGACTCTCACACCCCTGAATGAATGAGTATATCCTAAGAAAGAGGGGGATCCACACTATTTTATGAGGTAGTTGTCTTCATCAGTGAACATACCTTGAATCATCGTAGGGGGATCCTCCTCCCATCACACAAGATAGTTTCTTGAGTAAGAGGGTTTTGAGTGTCTGAGTGTTATCGTCGAAGGTCGTGATGTCAGATCATTCTGAGTATTTTTCGTTGTGTATACGTGTACGGTGAGCGAGTTAGTTAGCTAGTCAGCTAGCTAGTCAGTTGGTCAGTAAGTAGGCGCGTAAGTAAGCTAGTTAGCTAGTTCCTTAGTTAGTAGCTAGTTAGTTCGGTGGTAGATAGTTAGTTGGTCAGTCAAGTAGTTAGTTAGCTAGGTAACTAGTTAGTTAGCAGGTAATTAGCTAGTTAGCCAGTTAGCAGGTAGCTAGTTAGCTAGTTAGCCAGCTGGCCAGTCGCCTAGTTAGCCAGTAAGCTCGTCAGCTAGTTAGCTCGTCAGTTCGTGAGTGCGTTAGTTGGTGAGACGTTTAGAGAGTCAAGCTAGCACTGTACTTGGTTAGTTAGATAGCTAGGTAGATAGATAGACAGATTGGCAGCTAGATGGCTAGATCTGTCGGGATAGAGAACAAACAAGATAGATGGGTAGGCGGGCAGATGTAGGTAGTATGACTGTACATCTAAGTGGATACAGTCCACAACGTGATATATGTGCATCTATTTTCCATGGCCTGCTTCTGGTGCAGCAGTGCATGCTTGCAGCGTTTCTTGTACGATGACGATGCAGCAAGAAAACGAATGCCTGCGACTCGCTAGCATGGGAATGTGCTACATGCCACGTCAGTGTAGAGCTTTGGGGCTCCCGCTAGCAGCTCGCACCCAACCCTTGTGATTCACTGACTTCGCAACAGACCTGGATCACTTGACAATGACGGTCTTTGGATGTCTTTGGCACGGCGGTCATGCGTGTTCTTGAGTCCTTCCTCTTAGCCTGTCCAAGATCGGGGTTGCCCGAATCCACTCGTACAGTTTCTCAGGGTCTTCGGAAGTGTTACAAGCTCCATCAAAGCCCCCCTAAACCCTAAACCCTAAACTTGAAGCTCTAAATCAACCCCCAACAGCAGCTTCCAAGAAGGAGGAGCCCTCTCGGCGGGTGAGTTGGAGCAGCAGGGCACAATTCAGATCTCGAACGCCACAGCCATGGATGGAGGCGGACCCCCAAAATGAAAAGCCCGAGGGTTTGGGGCTTAGGGTGTAGTTTAAGTTTAGAGCACATCCAAATTACTTCAGCCAGTTCACTCCTTGAAAGTGCAGTCATTCAGTTTCTGGGGTCCATCAAAGTCAGGCTCCGTGGGCTTTGCAGTCAGAGTAGTGCAGCGTTTTTCCTTGAAACCTATGCCCCTTGTTGGTGTTCGTCCTACTCGGGATCTGGCTCTGTATATACCAATATGCATGCGTACATGTTACATGCATATATATATATATATGTGTATGTGTATATGGGTACTTGTCAAAAGTATGGTTCCTTTGTGGGTACCCTAAATATTGGGTGCCGTACTAGATTGAGGACCCAAGAAGGGACCCCAATATTGGCAACCACCCATACACATGTATATATATGTATGTATGTATAGATGTATACAGGTTTATGTGTATGTGGAGCTGTAAATTCATCATCAGACAGATATAGATATACAAAATAATGAATGCGTGCTACACACCATCTAAAGGTATGTTTGACTCGCAAAGGGTGTTTGTAAGCGACGCTTGAGTTGCACAAGTCCCGAAGACGAAGATATTCGGACGGCAGAGATCCTTCCCCGGACAGGCCGAAGGTCTAGCCTTTTGTTTGGGTGGTTTAGGGCTTGGAGTTTAGGCCCTAAACCCTAAACCCTCCTGTTTGGCAGGTGCCATCTTTGTCGAGACGACGGCTCGGATCTCCGGCCGTATCATGACCAGGCACTACCGGGTACTATTGGGACCTAAAAAACTGAAAAACCACATAGGGTTCCCTTAAAGGGCTCCTTTAAGGGATTCTATATGGGTACCACAAGGGTTTAGTGTAGGGGCCTAAATATTTACATGTATTTCTCTGGGGTTTCCTTGTTATAATTACAGTATAATGGGGCCCGAAACTTTATTCTAATTATTAAGGCCCCTATATTAGACTTCAGGTCCAATGAGTAATGAGACGCACACATTGGCTTCACCACCCATTTCGACAGCCCGAAGATAGTAGCCCGATTGATGACCAATAATGTTCCTTTAAAATACTGTGTATCAATATGCCCCAAACCTTTCTTCCATTCATTCAAGCCCCTTTTGTTCGGACAGGAACACTACGGCCGAAGCCTTTGGGGGAAGCATCAGGGCGGAAATGATGCTCGTGCTCTCCGGCGAAGCTTGGCTCCGATCTAGGACGCGCTTTTGATCACCAATCCTTGTATAAACTATTATTAATACTAATACTAATACTAACACTAGTACTACTACATTTTGAAGCCATATCGGCCCTATAAACCCAATGAGCCCTTGAAGCCGGGAGCCTGATGGGTAAAGTCATGGCTCGGAGTTCGGGTGCTTCGGGCTCGCTGCATCCAAGGAGCTGCGAATCCGTGACAGCCGTGCCCATTTTTCAGGTGGTGGGGTGACGCATGGTTGCAATACTCACGGTGAGGTTTTCGAGTTTGGTTTTTAAGATTGGATTCTCGGTTTTTCCATGTCACGAAAGCATTGGCATAGCAGAATAAGACAGGAGACACAACATGGTATGATTCCTCAGTACCACGAATACACACAGCATCCTGCTCCATGCCATCCGGCTATACGATATGACAAACAACTTAGAGTTAGATTGCAGTACATCATAGTGTATTAACACACCACTACAGACGCATACTAATACACACATATATATATATATATATGTATGTATGTATGTATGTATATGCATACATATATGTATATATACATATATGTATATATACATATATGTATATGTACATATATGTATATATACATATATGTATATATACATATATGTATATATGCATATATGTATACATATATACATATTCACACTGAAAACAAAACTCATATCATTCATTTAAAGATGTATCAATAGAGCAATACACCAATGTCAATGCGCATGTATTACTAATGCGAAGTACAATAATGTGGAACCAGACAAAAAGTAGTAACATGAAATGTAACATTACACAAGACCAAGTAAGATAGGATCGTGACACATAATAAAGTACTATGTAAACTATTGCCAGTATTACACAACATGTTATACCAAACTACAGTTGAATACAAACTAACCCAACCTAGTCTAATCTAAGCTGTTTGCCTCGCATGATGATGTTACCACATAGCAAAGACAGAGTAGATTCTACTTTTGCAACTTCATGTCGCATGTATACAGAAAACATATACACATACACGAAAGCATAAGCGGATTAACGTAAGAGCCAGTTTTGGTGTTTTATGTTCTAAATGCATACATATACATTTATATATGTAGTATTGCATTGCATGTTGTTTTAGATTGTACTAGATCGACATGTGGTATGACTATATACGGCATGCGTTCGTATAGTATGCTCTAGTATGGTCCGTTTCTATCCTATTGTATTGTAGCTTTTGAGAGTACAGCATATCGTGGTATATGATGTCGGTATACATTTTTTTGTTTTATGTTGTACTCTGTTATT